ATATATATACTCCTAGCTAACGGCACATAACATGTGGTAGATTAAGGTAATCCTGTTTAGAGTCATATCTGCTGCAAGGTTCCTTATGAATAACTACTATGAAAGGATTACACCATGTGGTATCAGTATGGAATGACAATGAAGGCCATCATAAGCCAACATTATATATTAATACTAAATTGCTTCAATCGTCTTTAAGATGCTGACGTACTGCATTCAATTTTAAATTTTTAATTTATGTAATGATAAGGCAATACCAAACGTCTTTTTTATCTGGTCATTTCCTCACAAATCAGTTGAATCATGGAACCCTATTATTTCAAATCAGTACAATTCAGAAAGTGCCAGAATATGCTGCCTTTCAGCTGTCTGCCATGTTTTATTTACATTCTAGTTTATGGTGGTCCCAGAAACTAAGTGCGCCTCATTTAAACTGTTTTAACGCAAATGAATTTTAAAAAATGTGACCTTATTGCACAAATGCACAAACTGGAAATAAATTACAACCACCCGATGACGTAGTTAATCAAATATTTCTATTTTTGGCTAAAATGTTATATAATACCTCTTTAAGAACTACTTTCAAAGACTATCGGGCTCCCGCGCCTTCCCATGTACTTAGGCGTGCTGTTGGCTATCTGTCCGCATTAATAATATCACAATGAGGAGCACTACACCTCCGGGTCCCCCATGGCAAAGTTCCTCGCCTGATTACAGTATCAAATTCACTGCTGTATCTCATCATCACTGGATGTCCCCGTCTGCCCTTCAAGCACAAGCCAGCAAAATATACCTTAGCGAACCCGGCCCGACGCAACTCTTATATTTAGCGGGCTGATGATGATCGATTGGAGGATCCAACGGCTCATTTGGATGTGGTCAGACCTTGCTGAGGAGGTCCTTCGTTGGCGTGATGGTATCAAAGGTAGCTTGAAAGCTGCGGTAAGTGTTGGAGAGATAGCGATCCGCTTTGGGTACACGGCTAATCTGCACCCGCCACACGCCTGGCGGCTTCAGTGGGAAGAGGGTGCGGTGTGCGGGAGGTTTCCTCCCGGTTCTTCTTTCTTCTCCTGCGCGGCGGATCGTTCGGAAGGAGTGGACAGTTCGGAGCCACGATGTCCTCGTCCCTGGAGTGGGTCTACATCTCCAACTGGAAAAGCCAGTGGAATTGGAAGCGTTGGATCGAGCCTTTGATCGAAGACAGAGACGTGAGTGTGTGTGTGATGTTGCATGTTGCCAGTCAGAGACGTCGAAAAGTACCGAACAGTATGGTCTTAACCACATTTCTTTTAGCACAACCTTAGAATGATTGCTATCGTATGCTAATACGTGCGGTAAAGGTATTTCGTTAATAGTCGCTGCAATACCATTTTGCACTAATCTAAGCTTGGCTAGCTTGAGTTACTTCGACGATAATAGACTTTATATTCTACCTTTAAACGTACCGAACAGTATGGCCTTAACCAGATTTCTTTTAGCACAACCTTAGAATGATTGCTTATACTTGCGGTAATGGTATTTCGTTAAGAGTCGCTGCACTACAATTTCATATTGGTCTAAGCCTGGCTAGCTTAAATTGCTGGGATTACGACGATAATAGTCTCTCTATACTACCTTTAAAAGTGGTATTTAGGCATAAATACGGTGGTCTTGTTGATATTCATCCATCGCCCTGGGTAAAACAGACCTGGTACTCTGCCTATTCACAGAACTCATGTAGCGGCTTACGCTACTTAATATGCACGGTACAAGATAGGCACTGTATGCCGTGAAAGACAGATATCGTAATGCACTAAAAGCCACCTTTATGAAATTTGTAACGAATATTCAAACCCTTCGTTGTTGCATTTATATATGTCCGTGATCCGAATTTTTATGAGTTGTTATTTTTCTATGGAGTATACTACATCTTCCACTACTTCCACTTGTTACTAAACAAAGATTAACTCACATTTCTGACACGGTTGGCATTAAAACCGCCTACACTTAGTTTGTGGGACCACCAAAAACTATCAGAATGTAAACAAATATGGCTTTTAAACACTCGTATGGTGTAATATTTTGGCACCTCCATTTCCTAAATGACACTCATTTACAATGAAGTATCAATTTACTTATACTAGTAAAGAAATGAGTAGAAAATGACTTTTGTATCGTTCTTATGTTACATCATGCAGCTTTAACTCGTCTTTTCATCTCGTATAAGAAACGAAAGCTTTTCAATAATTTATGATGTTTACTAACACCAATTTACCAACATCAAATAAGTCGCGCCACTCAAAATGTCAAACAAGTCATATTGATTTATATTCTCTACCATCAACTTAATTTTTAATTTTCATTTCGAATGTGCGGATTGTTGATTACGAAATACATGTATGTCAGGTCCTATTAATTTTGTTCTTCGCCTGCCTCCTATCGCTGTCTTTTATAACAATGTTTTGTTAATGAGGGTCTTGATTTTTGGCTAGTATTAGGCACTATTCTTTGCTAAATGGTACTTTTTAGTATCATTATTTGCCCAAATTCTGTATGAAAATTCATTTTATCCAAGAATACCTGGTCATTTCTTAAGTATATCCAATATGAACTGTTGGGTCTGAAGAAAAAAATGGCTGAAAAATATCGTTAATATATTGTATTTTAAAAAATGCAGTTCAGTGCAAATGACGAAGAAATTATTAGTAGTTAAGTATCGTTGACATCTTATACTTCTCAGTCTATGTTACCATTTTTTTCGTTTATACAGGTTTAGGTCAAACCTGTGTTGTACAATGTAAACTTGGAGGGATGGTCACAATATTTACGTAATACATTGCATATTGTCCACTGTTATATTATCATACACAAATACTGTTGACTGTGTTTGGCCTATTGCTTCAGAATCTCCTATGTTTTCCATTTTACCACTGTTTCTTTTACAGGTAGATTGAATCCCGAATTATGCACTGTAAACTTTGCTAGAAAGGTAGTCACCACTTCAAAGTTGCCCACAACATATTTCACGTTAATACCTCCGTGAAAATTGGAGGTATCGTTCTTGATAGTACTTGGGCTGTTGTTGTCTGTTGACTGTTTGGCCTATTGTTTTTCCCATGTTTCGGTATTACCATTGTTTCTTTTTCAGGTAGATACTCTACCCTAATTCATGCACTGTAAACTTTGCTAGAAAGGTAGTCACTGCTCCAAAGTTGCTCACTACATGTTTCAATACATTCACGTTATTACCTCCGTGAAAATTGGAGGTATTGTTTTTTTATAGTATTTGGGCTGTTGTTGTCTGCAGGTGCTGTGTGTGGTCGTCAACAGGACGTCCTCCACCTGCATCTTCCGTTTCCCGGGCGACAAGGTACTGTTCTGCCTGGGACCACTCCATCCCATCCGGAGGATAGCTATCTGTGTAGCAACTAACAAGTATCCTTTCTACCGTTTGTACTGTTTTTGCGTACGCGGTGTGTGTCTGTGTGTGTGTGTGTGTGTGTGTGTTTGTGTTGTGTGTGTGTGTGTGTGTGGGGGGGGGGTAGGGTCTGTGTTGTCTGTGCTTTCGCATACTTAATGCCGAAAAGGCCAGCATAACTCAAGGAGATATGGATTGCAATACAATGATATTTGGTATGTATCCTTGGTATGTGGGTAGGTGTTGGAGAAATAAAGGGCCAAGGTTGATTTGAATTGGTGGATTTCCTTGGTACCGCAGTGGAGCTTTTACATATTCTGTTCTGGATATGCACACTTTTTCCCTGCAATACGTTAACCATTCATTTCTGGACATTCGTTGTATACATTTCTATAAATGATATTTTAAAAAATCCGAATCATGTTTCATTCCAAGCAAAATGTGATTCAGCGACGAGACCAACCAATCAGACACCAAATATTACAAATACTCCTGGATACAATCCACATCAATATCTAATTTCACCATGATCCTCTCTTTAGCCGTAAAATGCTTAATTCATGTGTCCTGATTTTCCTTTAAAGCCAGAGTTGATCCCACCGAAGCCGTTCCCTGACCTCATTCCTGATGAGTCTATGATATACGTACATGCACATCATGTCCACAACAACTCTTTGATACCCATTCATCCATACCCTTACCAAGGCAACATGTGTCCCTCTTGTGCAGTTAAACTCTACCCTATATATTCTAGAACCCAAGGGAGATCCTTGGCAGCAGACACTTAGAAAAGTTTGTTGAGTACGAGTGACTCATGGGTATCAGTAGTATCGAACGCAGCTTGCTGATTGCATTTAAAGTGACTCCGACAACGTGACATGGAATTTGATTGTCCCAGGAGCGGATGATTGTTGCAGGTCGGTAGAGTCAGTGCAGAAGTGAAGAGAAGTGTCAGTGTGAAAGGTTTTTCAATATCGACTGCTGGAAGTGTCCTATCTGATTGTGTGTGACGGTGAAGTATTGATCTGGTCGCCGTGCGGTCAAACATATCCTGGAGCCGTAAATGTGGGAATGTTTGCCGGTAAACTGGCTGATTGTGCTTGATGGACCATTGTCATCAAAGCAAATGAAGCATTGAAGACTAGTATGTTTTTAGAATTTAGTTTATCGATTGCAACGAAGTCAGTGCTACACTGCAAACAAGGTAAACGACAAACATCAACAATACTTTATTTATTGCCCGTGATGTGGCTGATTGTGCTTGATGGGCCATTGTCATAAAAGCAAATGAAGCATTGAAGACTGGTATGTTTTGAGAAGTTAGTTTATTGATTGCAATGAAGGCAGTGCTACTCTGCAAAAAGGGCAAACTACACATTAACGATACTTTATTTATTATTTAAATGAAAACGAAGTGGGACATCTACAGGGCAACGTGGAATACAAGCTAGATACCGATTCTCAGACTTTTATACATTTTGCATCCTGCTTAAGCTTAATGATGATGCTTAGCCATATGCAAACATATACAAATGAGTATGTAAATATATCACACTAACAATCATATACCATGCTGAATACATTCACTTAAAATCATCTCTGGATAAAAATTCTGGAAAAAAAACTAAAAAAAAAAGATAGGCGTTCTGGTACTGTGGCAGATTTATTCGTGTTTCCTTTTTTAAGGTCGTTTCGATCAACATGTTTATTGATTTCACAATTTGCTAAACAGCCCAGCTGCAGTTGTTTTCACCACCCATTGCCATCATTTCATCGGTATCAGTAAAATCAACTCATACTTCTTTCATATCAGATGTATGAACAAATTCAAGTCATTTTTCAGACCAAAATATTGACATGCACTAGCATTTTTACCTTCACATTTTACCAGAACGTTATTTTTGCTAGCGTTTGTATGAGTATATATGTGGAATACGGTTTAGTACTATAGCTAAAGAAACTGTGGGTGGGTTGTCATGAAACTTAGTATGTCGTTGGTATTGATTAAACCTCAAAATGGTTAGATGTTTGGCTTCCTAGCAGCTTGTTTGCACATGAAAGCAATGGCACGTTATATTATTGCCCGAAGAACATGAGATATTTGATGCTCAGATGACAAGGCGGCTTCTTTTACATAAAATATTTATATGTGAATCTTGTAGCTACAGGACAGTGCTCACCTTGGTTCATATAAAAATCTATTTTGGCGTCATATAGCCTGAAAATGCCACCAGATGATATGAAAAAAGTATTCGACTTAACGATCGATCATACATATCTTCAAAACATTTCGCTATCTTTATTTGACGTCTTCATATCGTCTTGTTTTCTTCTTATTCAGGTCTCTGACAGTTAATTTTCACCGTGCAGTGCGATGAACTTTAAAGTCGACAACCTTCCATATTCATAGCCCATGGCTGTGAGATTGCGAGAATAGATGCGACAGGTGAAAGTATTGGATGAAGGCACAGTGGACTTTATCTACAAGACATCTTGGCAGCTCAAGATACAACACCATGGGATCAATAAAGAATTCCACAAAATTGTCACGTTTAGGCCAAAGCATGTAATTTTTATGGATGACATCATCGCGCGCATTAATTTACGCCTGATTTTGGGGAAAAACAAGAATTTTTTGCCCCCTCACAGTGGTCAGGTCAACATGCCAAAAATGGGCAAAGATGGGCAAAATATATGTTGCCATGCCGGAACGTGAATGTCAGATAAATATGAAGAGGGGCGAAAAGACAAAGCTCTGGTTTAATGTTTTGTCTTTTACTTTAATGCAGTGTATTTCATTCCTTTTATGTGTGATGTTTACGGAATCAAAACCATTTGCACAATTTGGAAACCTTTTATTTTTCAGTAGCAATGGATGTTGTAATAGTTTGAGGTAAGCTTAGCACAATATAGGTATCATTTCTTGTTCAACAAGGTTTATGATGTCAAAATCCTGTTTTTTTCGCCCAGCTTGTTTTCTTCCGCCCTATCACATTAGATTTGGAGTTTGAGAAAGATGGCATCTATAAAATTTACTTGAACATCGTGATAGTGAGAGCAACTCAATTCCCGTGTATGAAGATCGCCTTGACGTGTGTGTCAGATAATGCATCTTTAGAAGTCGTGCAAAGCAGTTATCTTTTACAATAACCTGCCTCAAGATGACAGCTTCAGATAGTAGATAAAAGAAGTGAAGCCCCTATACGTAAATCGTAATTAGCTTGCGCAGTGTCATGTTATATCTTGTCTACTCTAGGGACTACAGACAGATCTCCTACGCATTTTATCCTACTTTAAAGTGGAAATAAACATCATCCCGGGGCGCCAGTAAGGATTACATTTTAACCCCCCGGGCTTGGCATCTGCTATAAACTGATACTCGTTTACTTATAATTGCCATGTGGATTGCCTTTCCGATAACCCTTACCCACCAGTCTTTCTAGCAGTAATTTGTTGGGTGCGTGGATACTTATATAAATGGCTGACCTATCGATCAAATGGTGTACTGGACGAAAATGAACATAAATAGATAAGGTTAATCGCCAATAGTGGACACAGAGCAGGGCTATTCTCCAAGCAGAGATTTAGGCTTCGGCTTGTCGTGTTTTTGGCGTTTTTATCAGGCTTAGCTTTAGATTTTGGACTGGTATTTCTTCAAAAGCTTTGGGTTTGCAAATGGCTACTGCCATGCCAATTTTGTTACTGTCTTGCAGCCACCGAAAGATCTGCTTGCAGATTAGCGCAGGCCGACAGAGTCAGCTTAAAACAAATATATCGTTGATCTAATCAAGTCGAATTGTGCCTCAAACTAATGAGTGGCGACAGTTCTTTATGCACACGTATTCTGGAACTGTTTTCCCTAAGCGTACGATCCGTCAATCTGATGCCGCAGTCATTACTTTTGATCCCAACGGCATCGGTTATTGTGCAGTGCAAATTAGCGAATTTATCGTAGTCATCATTTTTGCCTTCTGGGTGCTTTACAGTACACTGGGTCGTGATACATATCGACGTTTTGTGGAAAGGAGGGCCTGGTGATTCTGAAAACATCCAACACTAGTTTCTCCAAAACAATGCCTGTTATGATATTTTGTACTACTTACAAAATTGTGGTTGAAAGCACATGGGCGGGGACATTGACAGAATGACAGGAGGTCGAAAGATAGTAGTAACAATAACAATGCTGATATGATATTTTGTATCACCGACGTTTACGGAAGTATGTTTATGGGTGGCGGAGAATTGTGGTTCTGTATTTGTTTGTCCGGACAAAGTAGGTTGAAAGCACGTGGGTAGGGGTATTGACAGAATGACAGGAGGTCGAGAGATGGGAGAGCAGAAATGGAGCGGCCTTGGGGGAATTCAGGAAGACAAAAAGTGTATACTTCCGAGATGCTAATCATGTTTACCGAATTTTTTCCTCTGTTTCCTCTTCTTCTTCTCCAAACCAATAAGGTCAATGATCTGAACCAGGCGTCTGTCACCATGGTAACTAGTGTTGGGTTACACAATGTTACAATTCTATAGCAGGAGGGATTTGGACTCCTTTTCTGACCGTATATATGGATGTGTTTGTGTAAGAGCAGACCATATGCGAAGGTAAACATTATGCATTTGCTTTGCAAATGTTTCCTTTCTGGTTAATTTACTTGTTTTATGATGAAAAGTACAAATGATGCTAGCAAATATCAGATGACCGAACGTCCTTGACAGAACGCCCAGATATTTTGAGATGTTTGTGATGTGCACCATCCTCATCAACAGTCTCATCCTGTCTTTGTCCAGGCCCATCCCCATCACGGAGTAAGTACCATTAAGTTACTCCTCTCCTCCACTCAGAATAATGCATGACATGGCGGAACAACAACCTTATATGGCAGCATGTAGTTTCCATGATTTTTAAAGTCTAATCAAAAACTGACCTTGTAATTCCTAATGAGGGCGGAACTAGGCAATGGGGACATTGATACCCGTCACACACGCAACCAAGCAATCGTATCCAAATATATGTTTTTAAAGTTCAAACTTTTGGTCCAACACAAAAAAGTCTCTCGCCTAGAGCTTTCGACCAGTCACTCTGGTCTTCCTCAGTCGACTGACCCAGTGAAACTTGTCACGTGGCTTCTTTGAAGTGTGACGTCAACACTGGGTTAAAAGTATCTGGTAGACGATGTCGGCCCCCGTCGCGGTTCAATGAATGGTAATGGGCCCTGATGTATATGGCTTCCTTCACCCCTCTCAAGAAATAGTCCCTTGAGGAAGACCAGAGTGACTGGTCGAAAGCTCTAGGTGAAGGAATTACATGTGTTGGACCAAAAGTTTTAACTTTAAACATGTAACTACCAACACAGATGAACTTTCATGACAGTGACACTTGTGATTTTTCCTCAGCTATGTGTTCATGGCGATCTACACGGCGGAAATGGCTATCCGGGTGGTGGCGAGTGGCTTCATCAGGCGGAAGCACTCCTATCTCAGGGACATGTGGAACGTTATAGACTTTCTCGTCATTTTTCTCGCGTGAGTTCATCCACCTCATATCTCGCATGAACTAACAGCTTGCATGATTGGTTAGCCTAGTGGGCAGAGTGCATCTGGTTGGTCGAGCGTTCATGACCAATCTCGGCCTGGGTTTTAAATATTGTGCTTGCTGAGACGTGATTATTCTGCAAACTCTTATTATTACTGCAAAAGCTAGCACCCGTTCCTGCCAACTCATTTTTACACTAGTAAGAGAATACACTAAGCGACTATGGCAAAGAGAAGTTAAGCAGCGCTAGTTAAACACAAATCTCCATATTTATGGGGTGGGAAGACTCCGACTTGCACGATCTTTTGAACAACGTATGTGAAAGGCAATGTGAAAATTCGTATCATGGAAGGTTTAGATTTCATCCAACATGACGAATTTCAATCTTATCTATATAAACTGCTGTGAAATATAAGTCTAGAATTTTATATGCTCTTGGGATTTATCTACACTAGTAGGTGTTCCAGATTTTTCGTTTGTGTTGACAGAACGTTCCATTACCTCCGCCAAGAAGGTTATGTTTTCCATAGCGTTTGTATGTCTGTGTGTGTGTATCTAGTTTAGCACGATAACTCAAGAAGCTTTTGATAGATTGTCATAAAAGTTGGTAGGTAGATAGGTGTAGATAAGACCTAGATATATTTAGATTTTGGGCCCCCTGGCGGCTTTGCTTGGCACTGCAGCATAATTAATCTATGTTATCCTACTGATCAAGGCAGCCTTGCAGTCTTTTCAAAAGTTCAATCCTGAAAACTAGCTTTGCTTACATACTTTGTAGCTGTGTGCGTTTGACAATGCCGAGAAAATGAAGGATGGTCGGTGTCAAAGGCACATAAGCACCTCATTCGTCTGCCAAAAAAATAGGAATCCTCAAGTCTCTTTGACCTCACGAAAAGCCATCGGCATGAAAGTGAATAGAAGCTGCTGTACAGAATGTGAAAAAGGCGCTGCTAAATGATGTGTTGTCAGTGTGAAAAATTAAAGCAAGCATGAAACTCGTCCGCAACTGTGAGCGAAATGAGAAGAAGGATCTAGAAGTAAGCCTGGGGGGTATCTATGTTACAGTGACGAGTAGCGCTGTAGGGAAGAATACACACAGGACAGCAACATATACAGATGCGTCCATAGCCACGCCGAATCTCTAACCCTAGGCAATACATCAAGTTCTGACTGAAGAATACAGATAAGTAATGTGATCCGCCGTGCAGTTACTGAGAGAAAGCCACGGGCATGTTTATTCCCTGACATACACTGTAGCACTGGTTGGATGCAAATACCTGTCCGACTCACTTAATACAAGGCGAAGAGTGCAGAAAAATAGCACAGAATGTAGAAAACTTCAACAATTGACACCATATAGTTGCCAGAAAGACCGTATAGGCAATGACAAATTTTACCAGAGCAAAGTTTGTACCGGCACTACACAACGAATGCAAACTCAGAAACAGCAGTCTAGTTAACCTTTTCCCAGAGTAATGTTTCCTACAGAAAGATAGCACAGAATGTAGAAAACGCTGACAATTGACACTGTGTAATTTCCAGAAAGACTATACAGGCAATGACAGTTTTACCAGAGCAAAGTTTGTACCGGCACTACACAATGAAAGCAAACAGCAGTACTAGTCTAGTTAACCTTTTCCACAGTAATGTTTCCTACAGAAAGATAGCACAGAATGAAGAAAACGTTAACAATTGACACCGTATAGTTGCCAGAAAGGCAATGGCAGTTTTACCAGAGAAAAGTTTGTACCGGCACTACACAACGAATGCAAACTCAGAAACAGCTGTCTAGTTAACCTTTTCCCAGAGTAATGTTTCCCCACAGATTGAAAGATAACACATAATGTAGAAAACGTTAACAATTGACACCGTATAGTTGCCAGAAAGACCGTATAGGCAATGACAGTTTTACCAGAGCAAAGTTTGTACCGGCAACACACAACGAAAGCAAACTCAGAAACAGCAGTACTAGTCTAGTTAACCTTTTCCACAGTAATGTATCCTACAGAAAGATAACAGAATGTAGAAAACGTTAACAATTGACACCATATAGTTGCCAGAAAGAGCGTATAGGCATTGCCAAGTTTTACCAAAGCAAAGTTAGTACCGGCACTACACAACGAATGCAAACTCAGAAACAGCAGTGTAGTTAACCTTTTGCCAGAGTAATAGTTTCCCCACAGAATAGGAGCACAGAATGTAGAAAACGTTAACAATTGACACCGTCGTTGCCAGAAAGATCGTATAGGCAGTTTTACCAAAGTTTGTACCGGCACTGCACAACAAATGCAAACTCAGAAACAGCAGTCTAGTTAACCTTTTCCCAGAGTAATAGTTCCCCACAGAAAGATTCTTCGTGCCTGACTGCTTTCTGATTCTCACGGCAATCGTAGTTGTATAAAGCCTCTCTCCAATCGCCCCTACTTAACAGACTTGATGAAGCGTTGCTGGGTAGAAGGAGGATGTAGTGCATACTTAACGTTACGGGTAGTGGCTACTATTGATTCCGGGCGCTGTGCGTTACCAGGGATAATCAGTACGACTCCTGTCCAATTTTCCGCCCAGCAGCATCATTTCCTCATCGGGGCAAGACACTTAGCCGTGGCGGCTACAGAATCGTAATGTACTTTCTAGCACCTGTTAAAGTTTAAAGAGCATATGCCGTACTTTAGATGTATGGTTTACTGCTCATCTGGAAAGTAGAGACTAACACTTTGCCTCAAATAAATCCTTTGTTCTCAATACTTATCATTGGTGGCTACAGAATCGTAATGTACTTTCTAGCACCTGTTAAAGTTTAAAGAGCATATGCCTTGAGTTAGATGTATGAAAGTGTACAACTTACTGCACTGTATAGAGTAACATTTGTTCTCAGTCACTCTATATTTCCTCATCAAGGCAAAACACTTAATAGTGGTGGCTACAGAATCGTAATATACTTTCTAGCACCTGCTAAAGTTTAGATAGCACGTGCCCTGTGTTAGATGCATAAAAGTTTATAGTGAACTGCTTATCTGGACAGTATAAAGTGTAACATTTTACCTTTAAAAATCATTTGTTCTCAGACATTCAAAATTTCTTTATCAGGGCAAAACACTTAATAGTGGTGGTTCCGGAATCGTAATGTACTTTCGGCCACCTGTTCAAGTTTAAAGATCATATGCTATGTGTTAGATGTATGAAAGCTTACTGCATGCACAATTGAGACTGTAACATTTTACCTATAACAAACCCTTTGTTCTCAATCACCCTATATTTCCTCAGCGGGGCAAAATAGTTTCTAGCACCTGTTTAAAGAGCATATGCCGTGCATTAGATGTATAAAAGTTTACTGCACAGTATAAACTGTAACATTTTACCTATAACAAATCCTGTGCTCTCAGTTATTCCACATTTCCTCATCAGGGAAAAACAATTAGCAGTGGTGGCTACAGATTCGTAATGTACTAGTACTTTCGCCCATCTAATAAAGTTACAGTGCATTACATGTATAAAAGTTTATGGCTCACTGATTATTTTTGCAGTAAAAACTCCAACATTTTACCCTGCAGATATTAGCTTCAACATTTTTGGCATAGAAAGACAGGCAGATATCTTTAAAATACCATTCTAATCCGTAAGCTAACGCACTTGCTTTTCTACCAGGCTCCGATAACACCAACTTAATTGAAGTTTCGTCAGCTACATCTTCATCAAGACCTGAAAGTTAATCGTAAACATTGCTTTATATGAGAGGCTGCGAATCCGTTAATTGTGTTCGCCGGGGTCCTATTAACTAGTAATCCCTAGGTGCACACAAAACGTAGTTGATTGTTGTTTGACTTTCATTCCGATGTCATTTAATGCTCCTTCCGTCAGTCGTATAAACCTAGAATACGCCTACGCCAAATGGTTTACGACTATCTTTATTTGCATGATCAGAGGAAGACAGAAAAGCCGCTCTTTCATAGACGTTGCGACATTCAATACGGAGCACTTAAACACATTATCGTTGTTAAAGTGAAACAATAGTGTAGAAGTAAATGAGTGCATATAAAGAGAATGCAGAGCAAAATCTCTCGTAACATGTATCGTTGACAGTCAACGTGAGCACTATTATATTTCCGAAATACTAGAAAGCAATTGTTTTTAGTATATTTTGCACGCAATGTGTACATGTATTCTGTTTATGTTATGAGTTATGTTCTGGACTATATGTGAATCATTGATAATACACGCGCCTATTTCAGAATTTTAATTTTGGGATATATCTTTGGGAGCAACCACTTTTTTCAATGAAAGAGAAGCAATGTTTTACAGTGTGAAATTACAGGTATGACATTCTTTGCCAAAAAAATACAACTAATTTTTCAACACAAGAAACCATCCAATGCATTTCTTTCGCTAGTTCATGTATATGTGAGGTTCATGTTCAAACCATCAAACGAAGGTTTGCATTAAGAACCAAGGGGGATGCATGCCAAGATCCAATTTAAGATTACGTCTCAAACTAACGCGTGGGCGTCCTCAGCCAAATAGCTGAAAAGAAGAAGTTGTAAAAGATATGCTCAGTCGTCTCTGGCCCAACTCTGTGAATAATCGCAAAAGATACAGTTAGGTAGGCCGAAAGAGTGTTTCTCAGATAAGATCATGACAGGAGAAGACTGCAATGCGTCTGAGACTTATCTCCCAATGTCTCAAGTGTAAACCCAGCGCTCCATCAAGCCAGAAAAGAACTCTTTTGTAATCGTCTGCAGATCCGGAAATTTATTTGAAGACTAATCCGGCAATTGTTATTCCGGCAAAGAGGCCCAATTGTGTCACAAAAGAAGGCCAAATGGCTATGCTGTTATTCTTCTTACATAAAGACATGAAAAAATTACAACAATTTTATTACAAAATCTTAAAAAACCTCCAGCTACATTTGCAACACTCTATTGCAGAGGATGTAATGTGAAATACCTTGCCATATTCAGATCTAAATAACACTTAAGTCATTCAGCTTAAATATAAAATGATATGCGATGTCCCAACCCCACGATTTTTATTTCATACGATCTTATCTCAATTACACGAAAGCCAGATACAACAATCATGAAAACATATAGAGCAGTATAAACAATCATATCGTACACGACCTCTTTGGACCTCCCTGCAGTATGTTATACTTTCCTAAGTGTGAGTTGTGTAACGTTGCATGAGTTAGTAATGCCATACACAACCATCCGTCTCGACAGTATATCGATTTTAGTATGCCTTTCATTATTATCAGCTGCCACGGGTTGGTACCTCAGTGTAACAGTAGTACACTTAATGTGCTTGCTTTACTGTCGGGTCATCTGGCTTGGCCTTTGGTAAGGGTTTAGATAACATAACGGGGATTTTGACGATCTTCTTGTCGTCTTTCTGTCGATGTGTTTAACCGCTAGGTTGACACATGTTCCAGCCGGTGGATGTAGAAAATTGTCTCGTACGAAACACGGTTTAACCTTTGGCATCCGGAGCGGTAGAGTGGTTTTGAGGTAACTGGAATCTCCTGGTAAGCCACAGGATGGTTGAATAACTGAGTCAGATTTCCGTCGCCTGTGTGTCTGGAATGATGTTCAAAGTAGGGCAAACTTTTAGACGTTCTGCGAAAAGATGAGTCAGTATACTGGTTTTATGGAGAAAGGTGCTAGGTATGAATTTTTTTATTATTCAAAGAAGCTATAATACAAAGTAAAGCTCGAAGACAAACTTATGTTGGTAACTTAAAGGTTTATACATTTTCTATTTCTTACAGTCTCTCTTTTTAAGAAACATATATAGCTATAGTATTGGATAACCTATTCGATACAAACATTATATTTCAGTAGACACGCGCAAGATATTGAATCTAAAACAATCCTGGCAAATTGCAGAACATTATTTTTGAAGGACACCTTTTCATGAGTATCTGTATAGCCAGTATAACCACTATTTGGTGTAACCCCCCCTGGTAGCGAGCAGTTTTCATCTTTTATTAATAGTCACGTACTTGGCAATGTGTGGATTTACTCTATTGTCAGACGCTACTCACACCTGGTTCTGGAAAACCAATACATCATGTGTCAGCGTGTGACACTTACAACTAAATCATCGCCCAGCCTGGCTTTGAAGCAAAAGACAGACATGTGATGCCACCCATGTAGGTCACTTAATCGATCCCCTACTGGCGAAGAGGCGCTGAATAAAATGGACGGTGATGGATTCAAGAGTATCGATTTTGCTGTCCTGATGGGCTGGGATGTGAAATCCTGTTTCCAACTGTACAGATGTAAGACTACCTTGAAAGCTGGTTCTCTGGAGCCCTGTCAGAACCTTCCCCGAACGCCAAAGCTGGCTGAAATTCTGGAGCAGTCTGGTCAGATTTAGGCCACAGCCACGCCTACTTTTCTATTCGAATCGAATCATATTTGAGTTAGATTTGAGTCAAATTTGACCCCCAGCCACGCCCTACTCCTGAACACCAGTTAGGTACCAGTCAACAATGGTCGAACCTGCTTTAAACATATTTGAGTTAGACCTTGAGTCAAATATGGCTTCCAACCACGCACAACACCAGTAAAACTACCAGCCAACCATGGTTGACCTGTTTTTAACATTTCGAAACATTAATTTGGCTCTCGCAGCCGAATACTAGTAATAGCCGACCTCGCCGAACTTCAGCCAAACTCAGACGACCTTGGTCCCGACCTACTCCAGACCATGGTTGGGGGGAGTTCGGCAGTGTTTCGGACGCCATATTCGGCCAGGCGTTACAAGGTCTTGAGCCACCATCATCTCTCTCCTAGGCGAGGATAGACGTGACTGATGTGCCAAACTCTCACTGAGCGGCCAGTCGGTCTGTCCACGGGCGGGGGCAAACTACTAAAGCTCCGAAGAGAGTCCGCCCCGATCCCGGTAGACTGTAGGCTGGCGTGCAGGCAAATTGGACGCTCTATGGCCGGCTAATTCCCTTGCCAGTTAAATTCCTTTTTAGGCCGATTTTTACTATTTATTCAGCATGCAAAGGAGTCTGGTGGAGACTAGTAGCCTGGACACCAGGCTAATGTACCGGTTACGACAAAATGGGTCAAAATCTCATAACCACAACCATACAGTGCATTTCAGGCATCTCGTTCAAACGATCGGCTCTTTCGTTTTGCTCTTTAAACCTTCGTCCCGTCATGATATCAAGAACCTAATCGTCGATCTGCACTATGAATCATGAGTTCTAGGCTGTGTTAGATCTACAGTGGTGATTTATACACACGATGCCATCTATACGCTCATAATATATGGGCGTTGTGCAATTCAGTATGGAATGAATAACGGTTGGTCTTTAACATAGACAAGATACGTTTGTTTGCTGACTTGCCCGATAGACAACACTACGTGATTTACCGTCGATTTACCAGCTAGATAAATCCCTGGCTTGGTCCCGGAGTCGTTCTATACGCCGTTTGTACTTGATAAAATGGCGTAGAGCGACTAAGGAACCAAGACAAGTGATACTTGCACCATGGACAACGCTACATTTGTGGTACTTTAGTCAACTAAATGGGTTTTGGCCTCGTCCAGTCACGTGCCTTGAGTGACCTTTGACACTTAGGTCATGTGACTACCCTTGAGAGCTGAAGAAAGATGGCGGATGCCTTTTGAAAGCTTTTCAAGTCGAACATCTTAGTTGTCAGTTTTAGTTGAATCCTTCATATCCAAGAAAAAAGGTTTCCTGAAGCTTATTCCAAAGTAATTTGACTACCTTTCAGAGCTAAAGAAAGATGGCTGCCTTCTGAAACCTTTCATAAAGTTTATCCTAAAGTCACGTGACTTTTCTCCTCCAATCAGGTATGCAACCCTCTTCGGAGACTTCAGCAACCTTTCGGGCCTGCGCACTTTCCGAGTCCTCCGGGCCTTAAAGACGGTCTCCATCATTCGAGGTGACACGTCTTCCTTTGAAGAAAACTATGACCCGGAACCATCCGGCTCTCAGGACTTTTCTCTGGGTATCAACGGTAAGGTCAAACGTGACGTCACTTCCGGAAATGGCGGACGTACCGTTTCCAGTAAACATGGCGTCAAATTTGCATAAATGTGACATCTTGCTGCTTTTGTTGGAATTACTACACATGGCTGTTGTCTATCCAGCTTACTTCATGGGCTATTCTATGCTTTCATGTTCAAACTGCCTTTGAATATGCTTCTTGTAGATAAAAAAAAAACTTTATCAGTAATACCTGCCTATTCCGGTGCAGCTTTTGGTACTCTACCTATGATGTTGATATGTGGTGGTAACTCCAACAAAAATAAGCACTATTGAACATTAGCTGTGGTGCATTTCACGATTTTGCTTTTTCTGGCATGGAATTAAATTGTGCATTTTGGTGATATGAACATCTTTACAAACTTATTTTCAATATTCTTGGCTTATTGCATTTGACCTACCGTTTGATCCTCAGTTCTAATAGTTATTATTCATAATTACTTCACACATGGTAATCGTAAGTATCCTTTTCAGCATTGGTTTTCACGAGTTTTCCATATATTCATACGCACGCTTGTAATTATGTTTAACACATTCTTCTAATGATTTTAATGAAAACTGTGCAATATTTAAGGACGACTGTGCAATATTATGTGTCTTGAAGCGTTGTATCGCAATGTTATGTGTCTAATGTTTCACTGCATGGTCGGTCAGTTATGGCCGACGTGACCTGGGCTCTATGTCTTTTTCTTATTTGCGAATAAAGAATGATGTTACTACATTATCATGGAATTACATCTGTGTTGGTAGCTACTTGTCTAAAGTTAAAGTTTTGGTTCAACACAAAAAATTCTCTCACTTAGAGCTTTCGAACAGTCACTCTGGTCTTCCTCAGTAGACTGACACAGTGAGGCTTGTCACGTGGCTTCTTTGAAGAGTGACGTCAACACTGGGTCAAAGGTGTCTGGTAGACGATATCGGCCCCCGTCGCGGTTAAGATTTTACTACATGATGCTAACTTAACTCTATGTACACCAGGGTTGAAACAGGCCGTGCAAGCGCTACTGAAGTCCATGAAGATGCTTCTGAACGTCTTGACGCTCATCCTCTTCTGTCTCATCGTCATCGCGCTGTTCGCCCTGCAGCTGTACATGGGCGTCCTCACCAACAAGTGCGTCAGGAACATCCCGTCAAACGTCACCAACGTCACTCACGACTTCTATCATTCTTACACTTGGAATAAAAGTTAGTCTCACCAATCTCTTATCTTATAAGTAGTAATATATATAGCTGGAATGTACCTGCTTATTAGTACATGTACAGGCTAGGTGCTACCCCCTTGATTTTTTAAATCTTTTGCAGCCTCCCAGGTATCAGGGTCCTAACACAAGCTGCTGTTTCGGCATCTGCTGAAACGAGTTTCATATAATTCATGGGTACTTGTGTAGGGATACAGAACTATATAATATATAATGATGAACTTTATTGACACAACAAAAGTACAGCGACTTCTGTAGGGTCTTAACTACATGTAGTACAAACAGACAAATACGTAGGTACAACGAAATTAACTACATACAAAGCAATACATGAATCAGCTTATACTACTTGTTCTAAGGTCTAAACATTCTTTGATATATTTACCTATTCGTACACAGTAAGGGTTATTACCTTCTAGTATGAAATTGAATTTATCTATAGCATGAAATGTAACAAATTCTGTTGAGCAAGCGGAGAGAGGGTTTAACAGCTTTGTGCGTTATCGTTAGGTAGTGGACAATCCATAATAAAATGTTGTTCGTCTTCAATATCATTGGGACAGAATGGACAAAACCTCTATCTAAGCGTATTATTTGCACGAAGAAAATGAACATCAGTTGATAGGAGAGGGGTATCAAATTCATTTAATATCTGACAGTCATTTTCCTTTCGGTCACATCAGTCTTATTAAAATTTCACAAGACAAAGTATCAATTCGTATTGAAATGTGTTTTTCTCGGGTAGGTTTGCATGTAAATACTACACGGTGTATATATATTATATTATACACATAACCCTCGGTCTCTGAAACCTCGGGTGATATACCTCGGAATATACCGTGTATTATTCTATATCTAGTCTATTCTATATGTATGTCACATTCTATATGTATCGCACATCAAAATTGCATAATGAAAGGGTAGCCTTGACACAAATGGACTAACTTTCAGAGCACTTACGTCTCAATTGGGTAGTCTGTGAGGAGTGTACCATTAGAGAAATACGTCCATAGCATCTCTCGTTACATCTAAGTGCATCAAACTTTCTCTGCACTTTAAGTGCCCGTCTGGTAGCTCTAGTGTCTGACCTGCTTACGAATGAAATGGAAGGCAAGCACGCCAATAGCGAATTATGCATGTTTGCCCCGGGGCTTTACGCTGAGTAAAACCAGGGGTGCCAAAGAATTCATAGGAATTTTTCGGAATTCATAGGAATTTTTCGGAATTCATAGGAATTTTACGGAATTCATACGGATTTTACGGAATTCATACGAATTTTACGGAATTCATACGAATTTTACGGAACTCAACGAATTGTACGAAATCCATTACTCGGAAACATACGATCCTTATATACTGCGCCTGGATCACCAAATTAGTAAGGATCGTATGAATTCCGTAAAATTCGCATGAATTCCGTAAAATCCGTATGAATTCTAGAGTTATCACTCCCATACCTCTCTTGGCACTTTTTGTAGTAGTTTCCTTATTGCTTACATCAAGCATACCCTAAAGGTATGGCATTTCATCTGTGTATTTTTAGCACGCGCCCCTTCCCCTAATGACTTGCCACTGTAATCCTGAGGGGGCAGGGACGTAATCCCCCATAGTATCCACATTAACAGACGCATTACCTGTCAAAGGTACCCCGTAATACACAGGCATTAGTACTTCACATGACCGTGAAAATGGCCCGTACTAAGAGCTAGAATGGCTATCCGGCGTTGCTGGGGTGATTGCGTTCCAAGGCGCAAGGGTTAGAAGTGCAGACGCTTTTACCGGTCCGGGGGCTCTCTAAGTGGGCTACTGGCATTACGAAAACGGTTCATGAATACCTGTTTGGTGCCAGCCAAGGGCCAGTGGTAAATCTAGGATTTGAGCAAAAGGGGGGCCCGCGAGGGGTCTAAAAGCTATTAGGGAGTAGTCTTACATGTAAATATATACGTATCAATCGGTAGAGTCTGATACAAAAAAAGTACGATACATGTTCCATACAGGCTTCTGGAGGCGGCTGGAAAGAGTAGAAATTGAGAAATTGGCCAAATAGAGAGATGACATGCCAGGGGAGTTGCTCCGCTAGAGAGTCATCATCTAGAGAGTACAGTTTGCCAGGCGTCGGGAGGCGGCTGGAAAGAGTAGAAATGAGCCAAATAGAGATAAGATGCCGGGGAGTTGGTCCGCTAGAGGGTACAGTTTGCCATGACTTTGGGGGGCGACTGGAAAGACTAGAAATTGGCCAAATAGAGAGATAACATGCCGTGGGACAGTTTGCCGCACCCGGCTCTTTCTATCCGCCTCCCAAAGCCTGGTAGAGGCTATTATTTACAGACCTTCAAGAAAAACGTATTAAAATTGTTATTCACCCACGGGACCTATAATATACCAAAGATGCGTCGTTTGAAATCCATTAGTAAATTGATAGTACGCTCGTCGCCCATTGGTCCCGTTTATGAGAGCTCTGCTTCCCACTTAAGCTTTAAATGTTTGTGATATCCTGAAGCTGAGAACGCTTATCTTTTTGTCATGATTTAGGTTTATGAGGGGTAGTGAAAGGGAAATTGGTATTTTTACCCTAACTGTACCTATCAATAAGTCAATATCAAGTAATTTTTATGGATGACATCAGAGTGCGCACTAACTTCTCTGTGCCCTCTGACAGTGGTCAACCTGCTGAAAATGGGCAAAGATATCTGTTGCCATACCGGAACATGGAAATGTAGGAATCTTGTTGTTTTTTTTAAATTTTTTATTTTATATCGCATTAGATATGGAGTCGGCGGAGGATGTCATCTATAAAATGTACGTGCTGTGGTCTAACAGTAATAACAACTAAAGTAATTTGTGCGTTTTTCATTCCTTTCAGCAAATTGGCAGCCCGGCCGCGAAGACTGGAAATTCCAGGTCTGCGGAAATGTGTCGGGGGCAGGGTAAGACTTTTTTATTCCAAAATTTATTACAAGACATGGCGACCACACACTCAAGTTTTACCGACTTATTTTTGATGCCGCCAACGCAGACAAACACACGGAAAGCATGCAAATGTATATATCTACGTTGCCTATGAATGAAAAGAAATAACGTCCGGATGGATCGTGATAATATTCGACATACCGGTATGTACGTAGGTCTACAAGATTTTCAAGATCGATTTGGGCCCCCCTGGCACACGTGTGGTACTTGTTCTGTAAACGTTCAATGCGTTCTACTGAATATATTTTGTAAAAATGTCAATAAAGAAAAGGACAGTTGTTGAAGCTGGAGGCTATGTCCTTGTGTTGTGTTGATAGTAATCATAGTAAAATGTTGAGCTTTATTCCAACACAAGGTTTCACAGAGATCAATTTTTAACGACCACTGTCACCTTCATCAGGATAATGAATGGCCAATCGCTTCAAAATGTAATCTCGCGAGAGTTATTGTTACAGACACGTGACCTTATTCACACGAGAAATCGACAGATTCCTTTTTTCCCCTACAGGACATGCGCGGAAAACTACACGTGTCTAGGAGACATCGACGGTAATCCAGACTACACGAGCTTCGATAACTTCGGCTGGGGGCTTCTCATGTCCTTCGAGCTGCTAACCCTGGATTACTTCGAAAACGTGTATGACTTGGTGAGGAAGAAGACATTTTTTTCTTCTTATTCATTTATACAGATTCGTCTCATAGTTGTACCTTTTTTCGCTCTTTTTTTTTAATTCTGCAAGCGTATTTTAAACTTTAGTTTAAGAATGATGATAGTCAAATAATTTTATTGTTTTTGCAACAAACATTGATAAAAAACTATTTACTATTTTTTTTAGATTGTAGTTAATAAATTTATTGTAGAATACGCATACATCACATATGTTTTGCCCCGTAATACTGAAAAAGACATTTGCATTGTTTTGCATCCAAATATCACATGATCTTTCAACTAAGCTTGATAATTATACTCATAGACAATTCAAACTCCATATAATAGTCCATATCAAGTTTCTTGTATATGATCCGATAAAAACATACATTATGTAGCACGGTTACTACTATAACAGTCCATTATCATATAAATTATATTTTAGTAAGATCTCTGAAAGTTTTGTCCAAAACTCTATATTTTCTATCTATTTCAGTTCAAACGCAAAGTGGCACTGCACCTAAATGGACAGCGCCACTTAACAAAAAACATAGTATATATACATACGAACAAAAGAACAAAAACTGAAGTGTTCCAAACGACCCCATCCTACCAAAAGAATTGTCAATTCAATTACAAAAGAATGGATGGGTGATTTCTTACATTTCTTTATTCATATATATATTTTTCAGGTAATGCGCGCATACGGTCCCTGGAATATGATTTTTTTCGTGGCGGTGACGTTTTTCGGGTCGTTCTACCTGGTCAACCTCATGTTGGCTGTGATCGCCATGACATATCAAGAACAGAAGAGACAGGACATGGAGCGGAAGAGGAAGATGCTGGTAAGCATGCGTCATTTCCGGTTTACCCCGAGGATCATGGGTAACATTTACACCCAACACGTCGGCAGGACGTACAGTAAAATTTATTGGTTTGAGGCTTACATTAAGTTTATAGTTTTAAATTTTTGAGTTGGAAAAAAATTTGTATGCAACGGGCAAAGTGCTGATGCAACGTTGACCAAACATCCAACGAAAACCGTGACAAATTCTGGTTTCGCTCAGGCGAATGCTTCGTTACCCTGTCCTTGTGATACGATAGTGTCTTGCGAATTTAGAAAAACACTGATGCAGTTAAATTTAATTTTTGTAATCCTAACACACACTTTTAAGTGTACATGCTACTTTCTTTTACTAACTGCATGTTGCTCCATCAACCATTTTCTTGCTTTTGCCTTTTTTCTACCGTTTTGTTGGTTAAATGCAAACACTTGAAAACACGCGCGCGCGTGCGCACACACACACACACACAAACACCTACATAATGTTTCCATGTAAACGTTTACAAATGCTCATTTTTCATCTATAACATCGCATGTATTGGTAAAACTCAATCTACTGCAATCACTATGAACTATACATCTTGAAGATAGCCTTTACTATATTTTAGTAACGACATAATACCTACGACTTGAGTATTTACTAATGCATTACTCGATACCATTCTTAAAAACATAAAGTATATGCATATCTTTAAAAACATAACGTTTACAAAGATTTCCAAAAGTTTGGAGTTATTTTACGATAGCTCATAGTTTTACCTTCACATGCGATTGTTATACTTCTTTGTGCTGTTGGTTTGTATGTATTGTGCCGTGTGTGTTCTCTTCGCCAATCCAAACTCTCTGTCGCTTCTCGGTCTAAGGAACAAGTTGAGGCTCTCAAGAAGAATCCTGTGGTGAGCTTCGATTTGATCTTTACATTTTCTAAAACCATCCATTTCATCAGATTTAAGTGTTGCTAGTTTTCATGTGCTTTAGTGTTGAATTATGAAGATGGGATAACCAGCTATTAATGATATTAGACATCGGCTTCAGATATACATTTCCTTGTTTATCGTATGGTAAAAAACAAACACATAAAAATACATTTCATTATACTTCATCCCATTTTCACTAGTCAATACTGAATCCTGGAAAAGTAGAGCCTTGAATCGCAAATATACATCTCACTTTAGCAGTAGGGTCTAGACAAGATGTCCGCCTCTTCTAAAGACATTGCTTCCGATGTTCGCCTTTCAATCCTTCATGTTGTGCTCTCTATACTGTGCATGCACCCTTTATAGCAAGCAAACATTTGGAATACTTAAAACTGAAGAGGAACTTCTAGTTATCTGTACTTGTCAAAATGGAACACATAAAATAATTTAGACTTTCATTAAAAAGAGTATGCGAATTTGATAACCACTGGTGCATACATTATCTATTGTTAAACCGGGTATTGTTGCAACAATCTATTGTTGAATCGAACTATTGTTTGATTGCTATCGCTTCATCAACGGTTGAACTCAACTGAATTTCTAAATCTAAAAATAAAAAATAAATATCTCAACGTTATCATGGAAGCAATACTATAATCAATAAACAGAACGTACTATTGGAATTGACTAGTCAAAATGATTTTTCTTTTGAGGAAAGAGTAAGACAATCCACAATCAAAAGACCATCACAATCAATAATTGTAGTATATGACATAGAGTTTGTACTGAAATATCTGCATGAAGTTTGACCCCCCCCCGCTATTCCAAACAACGGGTGTTTCTGGACCATTCCAATTTGCCTCATAATTGTAGGGGTGCATCTGAAATATTACATTGACCGCGATAACAGCAACCGCAAAAATACACATTCGTGCATCATCATGGGCATGCATGCCCGCAGACGGCGTATAAAATTGCATGCCGATTACACAAAGAGTACCCCGTGTTCTAGCTGCGAACACGAAAAAAAAGCTACTTACAATACTCCGTCCGGAGGTCATGACCTCCTTCACGGAGTAAAAATGTCGTTATTTCAAGTGTTTGCTTGTTATATCCTGTCGCAATTTCTTTACTCTTCGCTATGCACTTTGACCCGATGTTACTTTTCAAGGCTTTGGCTGAGGCCATAAACAACTTGCTGAAACCCGTGGTGAGCTTCTCTTCAATATCTCTGCTCTTTGCCCTGTCCTCCTCTCAACATACAGAATAACATACAAATAAACAAATGCCATATTAGGCCATGTTCTTTTGATTATATGGCTGACATCCGCGCGCGCATTAATTTTCATCCGTTAAAAAAACATTTTCGACCATCATATGTTGCAGAAATAAGTATTCGACCATCATATGTTGCAGAAATAAGTATTCAATTGGGAAAACTATCCTAATGTCATAAAATGCTGAAATCAATTCAGGAAAAGAAGAATATGTACAGAAATGAAAATGAAGACTCTATTATTAGTGGCTATACCATACTTTGTGTGTTTAGTCATTTGTTCAACCTTTATGCCCACGTTAATCTAATAATGAGGGAAATTTTTGTTCAAACTTTTTTTTGCCAAAATCTTTTTTATTCGCACGCTTGCGTCAGTTTTGGGGTTCCCAGAAGATGTCATCCATATAATCAAATCAACATGGCCTTAGATAGCAGAAAATGCTATTACTGCATATAGTCGTGCCAACTTGTGTTTTGATGTATGTATATGTGGCGTATTGGCACGTCAATCTTGCAGTTTTGGCATTATAATTAAACTTTAACAAAGTTGTACAACCCAATCGTTAACATTCTACTAAAGATTCCTCAAATTAGTTTAGATATTTGATAGCTTATAAGTAAAGTTGTATTTCAAATCAAAATGGTATATAGATGGTAAGTCAGATCTTTTACTATGAAGAGAAGACACGTCATATTGGCAACAGAACTTAATGTTGCTGGACTGACATACAGACACGCACTAAGAAAACATTTAAGGAACAATACTTAAGTACTTATTGTCGTTTTGTTTAGTTAAGTGTGCGTATTTCACAAATTCACAGAGGGGTTTTGACTGAGCTATAAATTCTATTGGAATAAAGGTAATGTTTAAAACAGCGACGATTTGGAATCATAGACAGATTCCAGCATGATGTTCAATATTGTAGGCTATGTTTCATTTTTCTACAAGATACATATAATAGTACGATAATGGACATATTAAGAACTGTTATCATTTTGGGCTATTTGGGTTTTCTTTTTCAGAACCAGTATAGTATCTTAGCTGGTTACGTTTTGATGATCAGACATCTTTTTCTGACTGGAGTACTGCTTTTAACCGCTGTATGTAACTTATGTAGGTGGCGCTTTTGCGTCGAGAACACAGCCCCAAACGTGGCTGAGTTTGTATCCTGTCTCGTCTAGCTTCTTGTGTGGTGACTTTCTTATTCTTAAATCACCAGCTTAGTCTGTTATCATCTCTGTCTATCACCTTTGCCCCTTCCAGTCTATTGTACAGTTACTTCAAGCACTGCCATCTGTTAATGCCAATTTAATGCCAATTTAATGCCAATGTAATGCCAATTATGTGGTCTGTTAATGCCAATTTCTTCTATGCACATGTCGTTTTTGAGATCCTGTGTACCTTATAGGATCGACGTTGTCTCTTTCATTTTGTGTTCTTCTGGTCTTGCAGTACTCCAGTCAGAATCTCTTATAGCTTGAAAAGGTAGAAAAAAAATAAAACAAAAAACAAAAAAAATAAAAAAAACAGAAAAATAAAAAAAAATTAAAAAGTTAAAAAATGAAAGCTCTGATAGGTATCGAAATGTAATCATGTAAGAGATTCCTGGTTATGGAAAAAGGAAAACCTAATATCCTATGTTCTACCAACCTGATGAAATCATTTTCGTATGTTATCATTTTTTTCTATAGGAAACAGGAGAAGAGAGCTGGATGCTGAAATTCAGCAGAAAGCCGTACGAAATGTGGTACATTCTCGAGGGAGCGAAATTAATTGCACTCACCAAAGAGAGGCTCAGTCTGCTAAACATGCAACTTAGGCAAAGATTTCGAAAGAGAAAACTAGCCCATCTCCGGAAAATCGCTAAAAGTGCCGGCAGGCCGGTGGTGGAGGAAACCCAGCCGGTGGAAATTCCGCTTGTGGAGCAGAACTCCACGGAAGTGAACTCCACAGAAGCCAGTGCTGAAGGTGGGCCGAGGAACTGCTGTGTGGGACCCTCTCACTACACATGTATAACCGTAGAACCACCGGCATCGCCGCTACGTCATCAGGTGGGTGCTCAAATTATTTAAAAAAACGCCCGTTTTTGAGTCGTTACTACGTTCTATAGCAGCGTGCAAAAGAATTATTGATTGTTATTAGTTATTATTAATTGAAGAGCACTAAACACATGACCCCTGACCTCATGGACTGACTTATCTTTCGACTGGAATGACACAGACTATGATTATGCCTTATGATTTTGACTATTTGTTTTGGTTGCATTTTGAGTGATTACCTTTACTCTTTATTCATATTATCTCTATGTTTAATTATTTGATTGTCTATGTCCTTTGTAACTTGTTCTGTTGGGCTACCTTGGAAAATCAGTTGTCCTAAACTGAACATGAAGATACCACCCAACCGTTTTTAAGACCAATAAATAAATAAATAAACAAATAAAAAATAACCTCCTCTTATTCCCTACGTTAGAACACCAATGGCTACGACATGGAGTATATCAAATCGACGTGCAGTTGCCACAGAGACCGGTCACTGCAGAGCCAAGAAAACAACGTACCGCCTGCGTCCGCCATCTTGGCTATGAGCGCAGCATCCACGACCAGTCCTAACGGCGGAGCAGAGCAAGGTGGGTTTCTGTTTAGTTATCTAGTTTGTGGGGTCGTGTGGCGTTTGGCTTGGGACCAAGAGGTCCCGAGTTCGAATCCTGCCATGCCACCGATCTTGTGCCATTGGGAAAGGCACTTTAATATTACACAGATTTCCTCACTTTACTCACTGACAGGTAAACATGAGTATGTCTGTCGTCCGTTCATGCAGTTGCCTGCGTTGGTGGCATAAAAAATAAGTTGGAAAAACTTGAGTGTGCCGTCGCCATGTCGTGCTAATAAATGTTGGAATAGTAAAAAAATGTTTAGTTACCTTCAAAACTAGTTATGTTTCCGGTTGTGCCATGGTGGGGTGGCTGTGGTATGGGTCTGTATGTATATTAACAGCATATCTTGAGAAGATATGGATGAATATTAACATTTGGTAGGTAAGTGGCGGTTGTGAAAACAAAGGTCAATTTCGAAAATGATTTACCTGGCGTTTTACTACGGTTCTGCAGCGGGCTGTTCATGTATGTGTATGTCTGTTCGTGCGTCTACAACAAAACTCAATAAGCCGATGTGTGTTTGTGTTCCTGCCCTATTTTGGTCAACATAATTTAAGAAGTTATAGATAGATGATATTAAGTGCATGTACATGTATATGAAAAGGTCATGATGATGTGCATTGTAAGGTCAATTGTGGGATTCGTTGCGGCTTGTCTAGGTACTGCAGGTGATTATTGTGTTAGTAAATTACACATAACAGCCTTTGTTGTTGCCTTGACCCTTTTAAATTTCCTGAATCTTTACATGGATTTACCGAGGCAAATCGCTCTTAAAGAAACGACGTTGCACTTTTTGCAAAACTTATTATTCTTTACGATGCCCTTACAATCGATACCAACAAGGCTTAATGAAGCGGGCCATCGCCTTTCTACTACGAAAACATGTAGGGGTGACTAAGGTCGCAGTAAACCCAGTTTAAACGCTTTTCAGCGCGCTGATGTAGGCACGTTAATAGTCAGGTTAATAAGGGCCAAAGACAAGCAGAAGGGTTGATGCCCCTAATCGGTCGTAAGGTCGTAATTGTTATCGCTGATTTTACGACACCAGGTGCCGATCTACGGTAATCAGAACTGTGAGTTTTCCCCTTGCGTGAAATTCGCCTTTCAAGTTTACCTACAGCTTTTGCACTTTAATTTAATTGATCTGCCATAACGGGACCATAAATGTTGGAAATACTGTGAGTTTAGGCCTATCTTTTACAGCCTCACTTCTTTAATGATTACAATTAACTTTCAACTTGGCGAGATAGATCATGAATCTTGTCCATGTAATATATGGATACATTTGTAGGTGCATTTACCGCGTATGCAGGTGCGCTCTTTTCAGCGAAAGGCAGAACACATATAATCTTAAACCCATCTATCAAACGGGTCACCTAAGGGTAATCATAGGATAGGTGATAGAAAGTGCAGCGGGTACCTTGAGGTATCTAAGATCTAAGGCAGTTGCAGTATTTTCCTGAACACCCTTATCTTTATGGCTTCACCACAAAGTGGTGAAGACATATTGCTTTCTCTCATGTTTCTTCTTCTTCTTCTTTTTCTCCTCCTGCCATTTCTTTAAATGGATTCAACTCTGACATTTTTGAAGGCAGAGTGAGCAAATATACCTCTAGGCGTTTTTTTTCCTTTTTGTGTTTGGAAAAATTGAAACAGATTCATTTTTGGTACGGGGGATGTGGTGAAGCCATCTGCTGCATTTGCTCCCGAGCAAATATCGGCCTTTCTAGTTGTATACTATGTTTTCTGTGATTTATATTAAAATTGATACTAACAGCCTCTGTAGGTAGCATTATTCCAATGCCTAATCTTGTATCTGAAGAAACCTAATGGTCTTGATATTATATTATACGAACTCCTTATACCATCATTTCGTCATTTAGAAGATCACCAAAAGACTACATTTCTACTAAGATCACAAAACCCACTAATTATGCAGAATGTGGGACTATTCATTATCCACTGCCTTCAAAGAAGAAGTCGAACCCCTTAATAGCTAGAGTAGTTACTGTAGTAGAAGTAGAGGTTTTTCCACACAGATTGTTACCGGTCTCCTGTTTCTGTTTCTGTATACTTGACTGTACAAGCAATTAGCCTTCGGGCTTGATTTTGCAAATAAACATCAATTATATGTGATTTATGCTTCAAACGATGTAAACATCTCCTGTTGTTGCTATAATGATTATGCTATTCAGGGTCCAATCCTTATCTTGTTGCTAAAAGAACACAAATCCTATGAAATACCTTCCTAATCCTCTTATTCAAGAGACGTAAAGTCAGTCTCAGTCATCCTTGTATTCCTTACTAATAAATTTATGCATTTGTAATGTATATTTACAGAGTCACAGGTAATCCGTTGGTACGCATGAAGTAATAAAGCAAAAATAGTAAAATTTATATTGCTCTGCGTTTTACTATGCACAGATCAAAAGTTATTGGTGGATTAAATGATTGAAAATCCAATAAAGATATAGATTATCCCATAGATTTTGCAATATTATATTAAAATGTATGTCGTACAGCATGTTATATTTAAGATGTAAAATTACCTTCAATATTTAGGGTATTATTCAAATTATAACTAGTGAAAATTCTAATAAGCATGGTTTTGGAGATGTTTGGCAGACAATATTCAGTTCTTAAGGAACATTGGCAATGTTACCAACGGAGATATATGAGCATGCTAGAAAAAATGCTGAATGAACCTGATAATTAGAAGTCATCGTTTTTTGCTGGTGAAGTAGATTGTCTTAATAGTTACAGATACTGAAATGCTTGTTAAGGACTGTTTTATTGACGTTTCGTTTAAGAGTACATAATGCGTGGCGCCAGCCGCTCATTACACTCTACATTACAGTAATCATTGTTACTCTAGCCGATTGGTAACGCTTTTATCCCTATTCTAACCGTTTTGTTGTCATCCTGGGACGGCGCGGGTGCAAAAATACATGTTTAAAGCCGTTGCCATGGCAACACTCTAAATTATTAACCTATCTAACAAATATGAAATTCTTGCCTGATATATTTTAGAAAATGTCATCAAGTTTGGTGATTCTAGCTCGAGCCCCTGAGATGCTATTCTATACATGGATGTCGGTGCTGGCCGTAAAAGACCCCCCCACACACACACACCGTTCTTTTTATAGAAAGTATGTAGCCAATACTAAACATTGGTCGGCAAAACTAGTCTCTACCAGACTGACTGCGCCGGCAAATGGGGATCATAATTTGCCGGGGGAGTTTGGCAACCAAAAAGGGTTGAAAGGCCCTGCATGGAGAAATATTAACCTTTCGTTGCACTTACTCTCCTGGCCAATTATTCCTTTTTTGCCGAATTCTACCGTCCGTACCCCCCCTAGGTAAGGATTGGTAGAGGCTAGGAAAAAGCAGCAAGATTGACAATAGGGTGGTTATGTATGGGGTTTAGGTAATGCCCGTTGAAGGGAACAAAGATTAATGCAGTCTTTTACGAAATATATCTAAATGATAAATGCGATCAGAATAGTTTCTTTGTTTCATTCGTTTCGGTAGTCTGTGGCCGAGATAACAATGCATTATCTCATATCTCTTGATACGAATTTACGAGCAATGTCATTTAGCCGCCGGTTGCCGATATCTTTTGTTCAGCAACCATGAAGCGGTACATTGCCTCGAGTGACCTAAAATGATCTTTAACGATCATGCTGCAAGGGTGCCTGTAAGGACAACATACTTTTCGCCTGAGTAAATTGCCAAGAAAGTCTAAGGAAGTACATGATCACACATACATACACATCTACACACACCCATCTACACACCTACACCTACACACACACACACACACGGCACGAAAAACGGTATTTACGGATGCTTAAACTATGCTTAAAGTCAACGTATATTCCGTCTTTACGCATCTATACACGTTTTATACGAGTACGTAAAGATCGACGTTACGTGGTCTTTCCGTAGGTGCGGATGGATCCTTATTTTCCGGTTTTCACGTAGCCTTTAAGCACTTAAAGATGTCTTAAATAATGATAAAGATAGTCTTAAATTGTATGTAAAGTTCACGTATTTTTATTATTTAAGCATTTTTAAGGATGATATACGTATGTGTAAAGATGACGGATAGGTGCGGATGGATCCTTATTTTCCGGTTTTCACGTAGCCTTTAAGCACTTAAAGATGTCTTAAATGATGATTAAAATATTTTTAAATTGTAAGTAAAGTTAACGTATTTTCATCATTTAAGCATTTTTAAGGATAATATACGTATGTGTAAAGATGACGGATAGGTGCGGATGGATCCTTATTTTCCGGTTTTCACGTAGCCTTTAAGCACTTAAAGATGTCTTAAATTATGATTAAAATATTTTTAAATTGTAAGTAAGGTTAACGTATTTTTCATCATTTAAGCATTTTTAAGGGTAATATACGTATGTGTAAAGTTGACGGAAAGGTGCGGATGGATCCTTATTTTCCGGTTTTCACGTAGCCTTTAAGCCCTTAAAGATGTCTTAAAAAATGATGAAAATATTTCTAAATTGTAAGTAAAGTTGACGTACTTTCATTCTTTTAGCATTTATTACGGCTCATATAAGTGTGTGTAAAGATGACGGATAGGTGCGGATGGATCCGTATTTTCCGGTTTTCACGTAGCCTTTCAGATGCTTAAAGTTGTCATAAATACTTTCTAAAATGCTCTTATAACGTATTTAAAGTTCACGTTTATTTCTAATTGAAGCACTTTTACGGCCGATATACGTGTGTGTAAAGGTAACCATTTGTTGCGTATATGGTGCTTATTTTTTGGATTTTCAGTTGACTTTCAGCAGCTTAAATTGCGTCTTTATTACCCAAAAACTGTACGTAACGTTGGCGTATTCTGTTGCATTTACTTGCCGTTTATTCTGCGTATGTCAGAGGTATTTGTGGCATTTTGGTGTCCAGTCCTGTCGTGGTTTGGGTGGGCTATCTTCGGGCCTGCCGTCCTG